TAATCCCTAAGGGTACTAGTAAACACATTTACACAAAGTACAATTTCATCCAATAATGCATCCAATTGCATCAGCCTCTGACGAGACTTTAAAGATGTAAAGCCTCCGAGTGCAGCTCTTTACATCCAGATGTGAGACTATCATACACTTACTTGCAGTCTGAAGGCACATCAGTGAAGACACGGAGCAGGAAGTCACCCTGCTGCCCGGGGTCAAAGGTTGTGGGAATGATGACGTAGCGGCCCTCCTTCAGCTCCTTCCTGAGGAAGACGCAGCGTGAGTTGATGTAGATGGAACCTGCTACTTTCTGCTGGGCTGTGTGCATACGGTACTTCCGATTTAGCTCCACCTGTGAAGGAGAACATCCAGATCTATCACAGGTTTACTTCCTGATTACCCTTTGAGGATTTCTCGGTTACGTGTGGGTGTTTCTACCCTGTGGATATCGAAGCCTATTGCGAGATTTTCTGATTTGCCCTCTTTTGGTGTGGCTCTCTTCTCTTTTTGCTGTAAGCAGATCAGCACCTCGTCCTCCACCTTCTTCACATCAAACACATACTAGGAGGAGAAAAAGAGGACGGTGCATCACAGTCCAGCACTGATCACACAGTTCCTAAAGACAAAACCACGACATGTACCGACCTGGGGGTTCTGCAGGAAGGTGGCTTTGTGATTGATGCAGCCTCCGGATCGGTTGCGTAGGGGATCCTGCCGGTGGACCCAGGAGCCCCTCATCACCTCCTCCTCCCAGGTCTTGTGGATGCTCAGGTAGGAGGTGTTGATGAGGCGGCACAGGATCAGGTCAGTGAAGTACTGGCAGAAGTCATCAAATGTCATCCTGCAGGAGGGCAGCAGGAAAAGAGGAGAGAAGAGAGCAGAGAGAGTGGATACCAACTAGAGGGAAAAGCTTGAAAGAAGAAGATCTTGAACAGGTACAAAAGCAGAGGAAACAAAACCAGGAGCAAAGCAAATGGTTAGGATGTACAGAGCTGAGATAAAATGAGCCTAAAGTTTGAGTGCCGAGGGCTTCTGAAGAAGAACTGCATCATTTTATTTGACACGATGAAGATAATCTTCTTAATCTTAAGTTTAATTTGACTTCTTTCTTTAGTGATACATGCAACAAAGCAACAAAGTAATAAATAAACTAATAAATGAGCTTAAGCCAGGCTAGCTTATAGCCTTGATGCTTGGCTAAACTACCCACCTGTAGGTGAGATACAGAAATTAATTAGTTTCACTGTAAGAGCTATTCATATGCTATGTATTGAGCTGCTACAATATCAGAGGTGATTTGAAGGCCTTATTCATGTCTCTGCCTTCCCCTCATTATTCTGAGGTTGGTGCCAAAGAAAAGGACAACACAGAAATGCGTATACTTTTAGACCATGTTTAATTGCTTAATTATCTTTATGCGGTTCATTTGCATTACAGGGAATTAAACAATAAAATACAGGAAGAAGTGTGTTTCACATTCTAGTCTTCCCAGAACAGCAGTTCTGAAGTTCAACCCCTGCAACAGATACATTTCACATTGGTCCTAACTTTGGGTTTGTCAAAAATATAATGTCCTTAGTATGAGCATCTACCTTTGTAACAGCAGACATGACAGGCCATCTGCTTTAGCTTTGGATCAAAACATCAAAAATCTCAGCAGGAAGTAAAATAAGCTCAAAATGTCAAACTATTCCTGCAGCCCAAACATCAGTGCCTGAAAATAAAAGTGTTGTAGCCTTTTTTTAAGGTAACAAAATGACTGTGGGTGTGTTTTTTGTTCAGGCTCTCACCAGAACTCGCCGTCGTCCTGTACGGTGACGCCCAGCTTTTCTCTCTCACTCTTGCTCACCTTGTTCCACTCCTCCGAACTGCAGGGAGCAAAAACAAAAGAGCAAACAGGCTTTTATGTCCAATGAGCTTTTGTTAGAGGTAGATTTTAATTTTGTTGTATAAGTGTGTCAGATTTTAGTAAAAGGCCTCACTGTTTCATGACCTGAACCCATTTGGACCTGCTCTGGGTGACGTCTGTTGTTGACACGTTATCTTCTGTCTCATGTGTTGGCAACAGAGCCCGGGGGGCTCAGGTGCTGCACATGGAGGGGGGATCCTTGAGCATTATCTTTTTGAGCTCATCATTTGTGACAGCTAATTTCCCCCTGCTCATCATCAATTTATTTCCTCTGTGATGGCAGCACACATTACAGGAGCCTTCACAACCTCTTGCTGGTTAAATGGCACAAACGAAACACCTTTAAGCCTCTAAAAGACCAACTATAAATGGACCATTGGGCGAGCAAAAATCAAGCCTACAAATAAGACCTCAAAAAATAATGTCTGAACACGTAATTATACTTTCAAGTAACCAACATCCAAGATTGTTTTACTGTTCTCATTCAGCTTAGGTGCTGCACAGAGCCAACTGCTCCCTGTTGTAGTCTAGTATGACACTGCATTCGTAGTGTGGAGATGAAAGCCCACGTCTACCTGTCAGAGCTGCTACTATCAGCAGGGGGGAGTGCCAGAAATATGTACAACAATCAGTGGGAAGACAGAAGTTGTCATCCATAAAGAACTCCATAAAGAAAATTGTCCCCCGCAAATGCTTCTTAAGCACGATTTATTGATCATCCCTTTCCTGGTCGAGTCAGCATTTGACTTACATAAACCATGTTGTGGTTAATACTATATCACCCCAAAAGAGCACTTTGCTCTCAGACTGTAGGCTTACTTGTGGTTGCTAGGATATGTAAAAGTAGAATGGGAGGCGGACCAATCAGGTTTCAGGGCTCTCTTCTGTGGAATTAGCTGAAAGTTTGGATTCGGGAGACAGACGCCTTGTCTACTTTTAAGATTAGGCTAAAAACATTTGTCGTTAGGGCTTAATCAACTGTATCTGAATCCTCTTTTAGTTAACAGGCCTATTAACTAGGACTGTTTCTTCTTCACGCTTGTCTTCTCCATCACCTGTGTTTAGACATTTCTCTGCATTTAATCATTAGTTATTATTAAACTCTGGCTCTCTTCTTGCCCATAGGGGGTCGTCTGATTGTTGGGGTTTTCTCTGTATTACTGACTTT